GCCTTATTCCTTTTCTTTTTATCAGTATCTGAAGTGAGAGTCAGGGTGTCTTCTGCTCAGTTTACCTTTTCGGTATATCTCCCAACAGCTCATTCGTTCCCTCCTCCATTTCTATCACTACTCCTTTAGTCCAGGTTCTTAAGTTTTGCTAAACTAGTGCTACAGTAACTTGGTTTGGTTTCCACTGTCCACTTGCACTCCCTACTCCAGTCTTCTGACAAAAGGGTCTTTCTAAAATGTGCAATTAATCATCTAATTTTTGCTTTCTTCTTGCTAGACCCAAATACCTATATGATCATATTTAAACTCCTCAGCATGATGCATAAGATCTTTTATAATTATGCATTTAAAAAATATTTGGCTGTTTTTGTTAGCCATTCATTTTTAAAAATAGATTATTTATTTGAGAAAGAGAGAGAGAGAAGACACGAGTGGGGGAAGGGTTGAAGGATGGGGAAAAGCAGGCTCCTCGCTGAGCAGGATTCCTGATGTGTGGTGATTGCAGGATCCTGGGATCATGACCTGAACCAAAGACAGACACTTAATCGACTGAGCTACCCAGGCATCCCATCATTTTCCTTTTTAAAATTTCATTATTTTCACTGTTCTTCCTACTCCATTGTTCTTTCTATTCTATGCATATGGAATGTGAAATTTGCTGACATGCTGACATGTTGAGACGCCTCTCCATGCTTTTATGTGCGCTGCCTAGAATGCTTTCTACCTTATTTAACTGGTCAGCGGCCAGCCATCCTTCAAGACCCTGCTAGTGTTGCTTTTGGAAAGATTTTCTAAATTTTTTTTCTTCCCAATCTCCTGTCCATGCTCTGCACACTTCTCCACCATGTCCTATGGAATGGTGCTGTCCAGATGGTAGGTCCTAGCCACATGCGGCTGGTCAAACGTAAGTTAAACTTAATAAAATAAAAAATTCCATCCCTCAGTTGCACTACCATATTACACGCACTGTTTAGCCACATGTGGGCAAGGGGCTACTGTATTGGATAGCACAAAAAAAGAAGTTACTTATCACAGAAAAGTCTATTAGCTCCTGCAGGGTTAACTATACTTTTCTCATGTTGCCTCTCCCTTTGATGCTTTGTTGATACTTCTTTTGATTCCACTGTTGCACTTATACTATTATTTATTTACATGTGTTTTTCTCTATTAGTGAAAGATTGGAGAGCAGAGATATAGCCTCTTCATCTATGTGTCTTTGGCTTGGATTTCAGGGTTTAGCATATTATAGTTTTCAACAAAAGTTTGAGTTGAATTGATGTAGTGAATTTTAGAAGGGAATTGCCTCCACTTGAAAGACTTCTAATACTGAAACAGTTGTATGTCAGCATGTTTTATAAATATATACATAGATATGTATTATAAATAATATAGTAAGTTTATTATATAATATATATTTAGGAAAATAAATTTAAAGCTATTTAAAAAGCATTTCAACTTACTGAAAGAGTAATACATGAACATCTTTATATGCTTATTATAGAGTCGAAAATAGCTAACATTTGCCATGTTTACTTCCTCTTTCTTTCTCTCTTTCTGTCTCTGTGGGGGTGTGTGAGTATGTGTATTAAGTTTTCTTGCTGGTCCTAAATCCTTCAGTTATATCTCCTAAGAATGAGAATATATTCTGCCTAATTATCATGCCATTCACCTGTAGGAAAATTAGTGTTAATATTGACATTTCTTCATTTGTCCCTAGAATACCTTCAATAACTCTGTCTTTGACCCAGAAGCCAATCAGTGTTTGTGTATTGCATTTTGAGATGTTACTTTTGTCTCTTAATCCAGAATATATTACTGGTTCTTTATTTTTATTTTTTTATGAAATAGACATTTTTGAAGAGTTCAGACCAGTGATTTTATAGCATGTGCCATAATCTGGCTTTGTGTAATTGCTTCCTCATTATAATTTTAGGTTAAAGTGTGGTATGAAGCCCACATAAATAATTTTGTGTGCCATTTATTACATTATAGCAGGAGGCACATAATTTCTAACTGTCCATTAGTGATGATTCTAAGTTTGATATCTTAGGGTGGTGGCCGTCATATCTATTATTCCTTTCATAATTAAAATTAAACCTTATCTGTAGGGCCAGATCATGTGAATATCCCATTCCCCAGCAATCTTTTACTCAATGTTTTACCATCTGTTTATGATCTTTCTTGGAATCATTAAAACACTGATGGTTACAAAATGGTGATTATCTGATTTTATCATTTCTTTTACATGTATTTTCTCACATATTTCTGTAAAGAAGAGCTTTCTTTCTACTCCTCTCTTTTCCACTTTCCTCCTCCTTCCGTCTATCCCAACTTTCTTGAGTATCATCATGGACTAATGAATTTTTAAAATCGCTATTAAATATGTTATAATTGCCATAATTTTATTTTTGGCACTTTAACTTATCCCATATTTGGCCAGTGGGAGCCCCTTTAAACTGGCTATGGTGTCCTTTTATATAACTTTGTTTTAAACATTTTCTTGCTTCCTGAGACAACAAGGTATTCCACATTTGCCTTGTACATTCTTTGCCCTAGACCTGAGCTCAGCTATTTCTACAAGTAGCCCCTATTCCTGTTAGTGGAAAATAGTATTTAGAAACCAAGTTCTGGTCACAAGACGTGATCATTGCTACTGAAGTGTTATTGCTTCTTCAGTGAACAGAGCTAGGGAATATAACTTTTGAAGAATCTTTGGTTTATACAGATACATTCAATTTGCATCCCATTGTCACAGAAATCTCCCTGACCTTTCCCCATTTTATGTGGATTTCTTTTCTTCTGCAGTGAAAATCCTGCTTTCAAACAGCACCAGTATATTTAATTAGGTCTACCCTTCAATATTCTTCAGTTGATAGTACAATACTAATATTATACCTCTAGCAAGCCTACTAAGTAAACTTCACAGTTTCTTTTCTCCTTAGAGTCCATCTGATTTAAGATATATACTTAGAATACTACTTGAAAGTTACTTGATTTCTTTTTGATCTATAGTTAGCATCATTTTTCTGTTTGACTCAGTTGCAAGGTTTGCTTTTTCATCCTTTTTGAAGTCTTATTCCCATTTTTATCCCATCTACCCCATGCCCACCCATCCTCTATGAGAGTGAGAATTTTCATATAAGTTTGATTTCTGAACCATGTAAATATTTTCCATAAAAGTAAACAAACAGGATGGTCAGTAATAATGACTCTGTCCTCAACTATGCTTTTTGCTTCATGTCTGATATTTGTGTTCCTACATCAACTATTTTTGCTTGGTTTTCAATTGGCCTGATTTTCTTTTTCTATCCCTTTCTTTAACCTGTGTGTGATTATGTTCTGGTGAAATGTATACAATTTGAGAAACTGATTTTTATCTAGGTTACTTTGTAGGTGCTTTTATGCTTGAATTGTTTTTCTGCAATGATATTCTTTGGTTCCCTCTGTCTTCCCTGCTCTTTTTTTTTTTTTTTTTTTTTGCCTTCTATGGTATTGATTGAGTTATTTTTACTTCATTTTTTTCTTTCTAATTATTTGGAAGTGATACATTCTAAGTGCCTTCTTTTAATGGTCATTTTTTAAAAAGGATTTTATTTATTCATTTGACAGAAATCACAAGTAGGCAGAGAAGCAGGCAGAGAGAGAGGGGGAAGCAGGCTCCCCGCTGAGCAGAGAGTCCGATGTGGAGCCTGATCCCTGGGGCCTGATCCCAGGACCCTGATACCATGACCTGAGCCGAAGGTAGAGGCTTAACCCACTGAGCCACCCAGCCACCCTTAATGGTCATTTTTAATGTCCATCCTTCTCATGCTGGTTAGTTTGTGTTGAATGTTCAATCAAATAAACCCATTGCTCTTTTTCATATGAACTACCAAATCAGGTTTGTTGAATTCTGGACTTAACACTTAAATTTTTTTTTTCACTGAAAGGAGACTATATGTTTATTTATTTTTTTAAATTTTATAATCTTAATTTGAAAAGAGATTCTCAGTCATCCTATATGAAGAAAAATTGAGAGAAACTGGAGTGACCACCACCTTTCCTTCATAGCCTGCCATTACCCTCCCCCTACACCCCTCCCAGGAACCTATGCACTGTTGAGGCCAGGAATATTATTTTGATTACTGCTCTCTCCATTATGCCTAGAAAAGCATCTGTGCATTAGCTAGACCTCAATAGATATATTAGTTGAATGAATAAATAGAAATATTTAGTCTGCAGAAGAGTGAATGGGGCAGTAGTGGGAGTGGGATGGAGGGCAGGAGACATGGTGGAATGTTTTAGTTTGAAGAGCTTGCATCTAGGATAATCATTCTGCTTGTTTAGTACGGCCCTGAGGGTTGAAGTGAGCATGACAGCAGGAAAGCAGAGGGCTTAATCTACTATCAGGACTGTCTGAAGGAATAGGAAGGAGCTTCATTATACCATCAGCCCCTGGAATCAAGTTATTCCAGGAGAGTTCTATTAGAGGTAACTGGAAAAGTTTCAATAGTCCTTAATTGCTCTGAGATTCTGTGATAGTGGATGGAATGCATTGCCATCCTTCATTTGCAGCCAGATTTAGGTACACAGGTAGGTTAAAGTTTCATCTTAGACTTGCCCGATGATGACCTTAACCCTACTAGTAAAGTGATCATCTAAGAGCATAACACTGGGTAGCCATCATTTCTGCATGCTTCCCTAGTAATCCCACATGTCCTGGAGCTTTCATTTTTTGGTTTGGGCAAATCAGAAAAGCAATAAGTAGATAGACTGCTTGTGTGATTCGCTTATTTGTCTTTTCTCTAGCAAAACAGTGAAAGGCAGTCTGCATATTTTCTCTGTATTTTACTTTTGAATTATCTTTTTGTTTGATTATAGAGTTATCTTAGTTTGATTTAGATACTTACTGGCAGTGATATACAAATTGGGACAAAGAAAATGTAGTTTTATAGTACTTAACAATCTAAATTAGTGTCCTGTGGTCTGCTTCTAATAAAAATCTCTTCTCTTTCTCTTAGGGCTGCTGCTCAGAGTAAATTAGGTCACTACACGGATGCAATAAAGGACTGTGAGAAAGCAATAGCAATTGATTCAAAATACAGCAAGGCCTATGGGAGAATGGGGTAAGCTCAGGCAAAATGTTCAAAGTGGTACTAGGGAGTATCAGACTTGCTGGTAATGGTTTGTTTTTCAGTTTCCTGCTTAAATTCTGCAAGGAAGATCAATATACCATTGAAGAGAGGAAATGACTGCAACTTCTTTGAGTTGGGATGTATGATGAATATATGTATGATGCATGGTTGGTTGTTGGGGAAAATCATACAACTGTGTTGAGTAGACTTACTTCATATTCAGGGCCACAAATCTCAAACAAGCACTCAGTATTTTGACGGACAATCCTACTATACTTCCTTCTACTTTCACCTTACCACACTCTTCCCACCTTCTCTTCTCTCTTCAGATTTCCACCACACACTCCATGGTGACTCTCAGTCCATGCCTGCCTTGCATTTAATTGAGAAAATAGATGCATTTAGAAGAAAAGTAACTCCTCTTCTTGCTTCTGAATGAACCAATCCACCTGCCTTTGTACCCTCAAAGACTGCCTTTTGTTCCTGTTCAGATGGAAGGGTTCTTTTCTCAGACTTGCCTTCACTCATGCCTTACATCTCGTCTCTTTGTACCTTCTCCAGGACTTTATGCTTGGAATCCTCTCCTTCATCTTCTGCAACACCAGATTGCCTACCTCCAAAAGTGACAGTGACTCCATGCAGAAAGTTCATAGGAAATCACCCATTGGAACTATCCTTTTCCCAGCGAGGCCATTTCCCAGCTCTTCCTTCTCTGAATGGCTCCCTTGGCTACCTGTGTTTGCTGTCTCATCTCCCTCAGGTCTCATTTGCTCTCCACTTACTCTGATAGGGCCTTCATCTCTGTCACTCTACTGACAGCCGTGTTCACAGTCCCCAGTTGACTGTATTTTGCCAGGGCCAGTGTTCACATGTGTATCCTTAATCTGCCCCATGTTTTAGTATTTGGCATGATTAACTTTTTTTTCTTTTAAAGTTTCTTTATTTATTTAAGTAATTTCTGTACTACCCAACGTCATAGCTCTTCCAACTGAGTTGCCCAGATGCCCTGGCACAATTAACTTATTTTTGAAATACTTTATTCTCTCCACTTCTGTGACATCACACTTCCTGGTTCTCCTTCTACTTCATTGGATGCTCTTTCCCAGTCTCCCTTGCTAGTTATTCCTTCTCTACCACTTCTAAATAATGGTTAATTTCAGGGCTCTCTCCTCTGATGCTGCCATTTTTCTGTTCTCTCTTGTGATTGCATCCTGTCCCATGCTTTTAAATTCCATCCATAGTCAGTACTCATTATTCATGGATTCTGTATTTAGGAATTTGCATACATGCTGAAATTTTTTTGTAATCCCCAAATCAGTAATCACTGTGCTTTTGTGGTCATTCACAGAAGAGTAAAAAATTTGAGTCACCTGTCAGCAGAGGTCTGGTGAGATGGTACTCTGCCTTTTTGTTTTAGCTTTCATGCTATCAATGAGTGTCATTTTCAGTCTTTCTAGGGCTGTATTTTTTTTCTTTTTGCATTTGCATGCCTTTTGTGATTGATTTCCCTGTTTACAGTGGCCCCCAAAATGTAGGCTGAAGTGTTGTCTAGTGTTCCTAATCACAAGAAGGCTACAGTGTGCCTTATGAAGAAAACATAATTTTTGATCAGAAATGAGTTGTGCTGTTGGCTATTGGCTAATGAATCATTAATATATAATTTATATATATATATTATGCATATAATATATATAATTAATAATATATATTAAATAAGGTTTTTTTAAAAAGAAACACATAATATAGATTATGTTTTGATCTGTTCATGAAAATGTTGTGATCAAAAGCTCACAGGAACACAGTCCTCTATTCCCTCGAGGAACAGTTGTTCAGTATTTGCTAATTTATTGTTTGTTATATTCCTTATAGAATATAACTACTGTTGTTAACTAGTTTCAACTGTATATGAAGATGCAGCTCTTAAATTACATGTCTGAACTCCATACTCATATATTCAACTGCTTTTCATGTTTGATGTTTGATAGGCATTTAAAGCTTCCCCTGAGGCAAATAATACATTATATGTTAATCTAAAAAAAAAAGGGGGAAAAAAAGCTTAATATGCCCCCCAAAGAACTTTTGTTCCCTTCTTAAATCTTTCCCATCTCAGTAAATGGTACCATCATTCACCTCCCAGTACCAAAAGGTCAGAAGCCTAGGAGTCATCCTTCATTCTTATGCCTGGCACAACTAATCTATCAGCAAGTCCTGTCAATTCTGGTTTCCATATATATCTTGAACTCAAGCAGTGAATGTGGTCTTGTTTCTAAACCTAGTTCAAATTACTGTCTCTTACCGAGATTACTACTGTAGCTTCATAACTGGTCCCCCTGCTGCCATTCTGCCCATACCCATGGTGATCATCTTCAGAAAAGCCAGAGTGATTATTCTTTCTTTTCTTCTTCTTTTTTTTTAAGAGATGGGGAGAGAGAGGCAGAGGAGAAGGGAGAAGGGGCAGAGGGAGAGAGAATCTTAAGCTCTGCACCCAGCACAGAGCCTAACATGGGGCCCAATCTCACAACCCTGAGATCATGACCTGAGCCAAAATCAAGAGTCAGAGGTTTAACCACAGTGCCCTCAGAGTGAATGTTCTAATGCATAAATCAGATCTGTCACTCCATTGCAACCACAATAAAATCCAGACTCCAAACCATGGTCTTACATGATCTGGCATCTCATTATTCCCTGACATCATCTTTCCACACTTTATTTTCTGTGCTCTCTCCTTATCAGCTTTTGTCTTGTTCCTTAAGTATACCAAACACATCATTCTCAGGGCCGTTGTGTTTACCATGTCTTCTTTTCAGAATGCTCTTCCTTTGATTTTTCATGTAACTGCTTTCTACTCATCACTCAGGTCTTTTCACTGTGGCTGTCTTTGAGCAGCTCCCCCTTTCCTTAATATTATGATTTTATTTGTGTGTTTATTACTTATCTTTCCAGGTAGGATGGAATTTTCTTAATCTCAAGGACTTTCATCTTTCTCATTGTGAACTATAAAATAGTATCTGGTATGAAGTAGGGTTTCAGTAAATACCTACTGATTGTTGATCCATTGAGGACTCCAAACAAAGATCTTTCATTGTTGACGAGAAGAAAGTGAATTAGGTTCTGAGAATTTTTCTGTGGTTAGACACTGTGTTCTGTCTTGATCAGACATCTGGGCTCTAAGTCATCCAAGAAAGAAGTGGAGTAATTTGTTAAAAACAAGTCTATACTATAAACAACCTCAATACTGTCTACCCATATATGCCAATATCGTATTAGTTCTTAAGTAATTTTCTGATAAATTCTAACTAGGTAGAGAATAACAAAATAATGAACTTTTTGATCTGTGCCTGGGATAAAAATGCATTGGGTTGTAAAGATGCTAATTTTATCTACTTCACAGCTAACATGTCTTCTTTACAAGTCCATTGATAATCCATCGCCCATTTTTATTTTTTATTTTTTTTAATGGCAAGTTGATATTTATTGTGGCTCAGTGCCTTTGTTAGGAAGACGGAAGAAAGTGGGACATTCAGAGTCCTTAAAATGGTTTTAGCATCATGGAGTTATAGTGGCCACAGGTTGTTAGCTCACATCTTTGTGGATCTTTATCATTCATAAGGCAATTACTTCACATATGAGGCTTACAATTGGAAGGGTAGGTAAGTTTCATTTCTTAGCATTAAATTCATGACTATATAGGATGGCCAAAGTTGTCAGCAAGCAGAAAGGAGAGAGTCCAGACTTACAGAATCTTGGAATTAGAAGGAATTTTCGTGATATTTGCCTGAATCCTAGTACAGTGAATCAAGTAAGCGTAGTCTGGATTCAAATTGAATACCAAGATAGATGTTTGACTATTGGTGATGTCCTGATATTCTTTAATCATATATCTTCTATTCTCATGTTTTCTTCTTTTCAGATTGGCCCTCACTGCCATAAATAAATTTGAAGAAGCAGTTACAAGTTATCAAAAGGCATTAGATCTTGACCCTGAGAATGATTCTTATAAGTCAAATCTGAAAATAGCAGAACAGAAGTTAAGAGAGGTATCTAGTCCTGTAAGTTATTAATGGCAGATGAGGGAAATATTTTCTGTCATTCTCAATTTGTTATAATCAAATTATAGTGGTTGGAATAATTCTCAGCTATAATTGTTTTACAGACAGGAACTGGATTGAGCTTTGACATGGCTAGCTTAATAAATAATCCAGCCTTCATTAGTATGGTGAGTATATTTCCTTTTCTTCTCTCTGGCTCTGTTTTCCATAGAGCTTTATGGTTCCCAAACTTTTAGAAATAAATACTGGAGCTTTTGTGGTGATGGTGGTGGTAGAGTGGGGACACAATGTTCTGGCTCAGGTTTTTAACCTTTGTATCTCTTTGTGAAAAAGACATGGAGAGACTTCAGGAAGCTCACAGATTCCCTGAAAATGTATAAAAAATTTTGTATACATGTGCACGTATGTATTTTTCTATGGAGAACTGTATTTTTCATCCAGTTGGCAAAGGGGTCTGCATATCTACAAAAGGTTAAAAACAACTCTTTTCCATGAAAGTAGCCCTAGGAAGATCTTTAATAATTGAAGTCTGAGTAGTTTGTCATGGTACCCTAAGCTCTCCTCTCATGGTCTGCTTACTTTCGATCCTGAGTTTATTTGAACTTTTAGTAGAATCCTCAGATATATGTATTTTGTCCTTCAAAACAACAAAATGACTCATGGATCTTTTTAAAAACACACCTGCTCTGGTCCAGTTTTTGGAAACTCTGATTTAGTGGCTCGGGATGTTACCCAGGCATATAAACCTCCTTGAGTGATTATTTCTGGTTGAGAACCATTTGTTCCACCACATGCCATGCCCTTGGAAGGCAGCAGTACCACCTGAATTCCTCTTTGGTTCTTAAAAAAAAATGTGTCACGCATCCATGGAATCATTGAATTGAAATGCACAGATGGCTTACTCTCAGTGAGATAAAGAAGTCTTTTAAACAATTATTAGGTCTGTAGCAATTAGCTGTTTACAACTGGTAGTTGAGATCTTTGTAGACAGTAGGTAATTTTTGAATCACTCACTCTAAATGAGGTGTTGGGAAAGCCACCACTTGCTTTTAATTATCAGAGAGATGATTATTTGGCTGACTTGCACATAATTCACTATTCTCATGTCTCAGGATTGAGCCCATCACACTTAAGTTGGTTTTATCTACATGCCAGCAATTATAGGTCTCTTCATAGGTTTTGTGACATTTTTAGCATTGTTACCCATTTCTAGGCCTCAGGTTATGCTATTGTAGTAGAATGTGAAAATCGATTTTTTTTTTTTTTAGTTTCAGATTTGTCTTAGCCCTCAAGATGTTATGTACCAAAGTGAAGTGTTGCAGAAGGCGGCAGTTAAAAACATACTGTGCGACTTGTGAAGAGAGTGAGTTCGATAGACAGTAAGAGGATTTTTGGAGAAAGCTATTGGAGTTACAGAGCATTTTTCCATGTATGAGGGAATGAAGGGGGCCTGCCCTCCTCTGAAGCCCACAGAGAGGGCTTTTCTGGCCCACTCAGAGAGCTTTCTAGATGGCCCTCAGTAGGCTGGTGTCTGACCTGCTGGCTATAGAAGCCTGTGTGGTTTAGCAAATAACTATACTGATGGCAGTGGAGTGGAGGGGTGTTTTCTGTGGACCAAGGTGAGCACACGTGCTCAGAAGATAGTCCATTGTGATCTGCCCGGAAAGGCCTCTTGGAAGGTGACAGGACTGTAACAGAGTCTCTAGAGGAGGACTACAAAGAACCTGGGACTAAAGGGAAAGTCATAGTGTCCATCCAGAGTAAGTTACTCTTCTCAGAGGATAGATGAGAAATACCCAGAGGGGTGGGGGTGGGAGATGTTTCTGAAGGACCTTAGAGCCCCAAGAGAGATCCCAAGTAGTTGTAAACAATCTGTACATCCAAAGAGCACCATTGCAAAACCACTGAGATAGTACCAGTCATCAACTTTCCTGTACCCCTGACTCCCAGGACTCTTGTGCAGCCTGCTGGCGGAAGAGGCACAGAAGCACTGTGGTGAAAAAGAGCAGGCAGTTGTGCCTCTGTCCTCTAGTGCGACTGGCCCATGCAAAGTAGGCCCAGGCCGGGGAGGGGAAACGCTTTGCCTATAAATGAAGTGTTATGTATATGGTTATTACAGTGAATAAGATGTGTAGTACTGAACCAGAGGTCATTTTCTAACTTAAAGCGACTAGAGGGGGGCACCTGGGTAGCTCAGTTGGTTGGGCATCAGCCTTCGGCTCAGGTCATGATTCCGGGGTCCTGGGATCGAATCTGAGGTTGGGCTCCCTGCTTAGTGGGGAGTCTAATTTTCCCTCTGCCTCTGTCCCTCCACTCATCCTCTCACTTTCTCAAATAAATTAAAAAAAAAAAAAAAAAAGGCAACTAGAGGACTGTTTACTTAAAAGCGACCAGAAGAGTCCTAGGATCTGCTCTGTATTTCCTCTAGGTCCTAGAATCTAGAAGAGGATGAACTGCTTTTACAGAATCAGATTGAAAGGGCTGTGAAACAAAAGGCTTTCTATTTATAGCTCATAAATCCTGCCTTTTCTGTGTAATGTCCACAGTACTTGTGTGTTGGTGCAGAGGCACTAATCCCAACCAAGACTTGAGAAAAGCTAATGAATTGTTTGCAAGTAAGTCAGACCGTTCTCTTTATGGCAATGAAAGCAAGTGAAGGCTTTTTCCAACACCTCATGTAGGGTCAGTAAATCAAAATTACTGTCTACAAAAGATTTAGATTAAATGTTACATGAACATTTAAGGCAAAACAAAAACAAAAACCAAAAACTGATACGCTTTCAAAACAAAGTTTTACAAGTGACCAGAGCTGAACCAACTGAGCCACCCAGGCATCCCATTTGCGATGTATTTTCAATGCCATTTTTTCCTAGTACTTTCTCTTTTTTTACATTCATTCATTTTGTTTAAAAGTACACTAAAACTAGGGGCGCCTGGGTGGCTCAGTTGGTTAAGCGTCCAACTGTTGGTTTTGGCTCTGGTCATGATCTCAGGGTCATGAGACAGAGCCCTGTGTCCAGCACAGAGCCTGCTTGGGATTCTACCCTCACCCCTCCACTTCATGCACATGTGTTCTCTCTCAAAAAAAAGTACACTAAAACTCTTAACAATGTTAAAATATACATGGTTTAGCTTTCATTCCTGGTTTGTTTTTTTAAATCTTGGTTAAAGATCCTTAAATATTAACTGCCTTTAATGGGAGATGCCATTTTTCAATTCCAGGCAGCAAGTTTAATGCAGAATCCTCAAGTCCAGCAGCTGTAAGTATATTTTCCCTCCCAGCTGCCAGGTTCCTAATTTGAGCACATCAGTTCCAAAGTGATAAGTGGTAAATGGTAGATAAATGCCAGCCAATTAGAACTTGGAGCCATTCACATTTGGCCTGACTTCCTACACAGTGCGAGTATATTTAACTTATTTCTCCTTAGCCAGTATCCTACTTGTTAAAGAATATATGCTCATTCCAGTGATGTATCTCTTGCCTATTCTAGAATGTCAGGAATGATGACAAATGCTATTGGGGGACCTGCTGCTGGAGTTGGGGGACTAACTGACCTGTCTAGCCTCATCCAAGCGTAAGTGTTACTTAAATAGAAATAGTAAAAAAAAATTGATAGCTTGTCTCTAAAGTGAAGGGACCAGGGCTTTCTTGAAAAAATTTTTTCTTTGACTATTAGTTATCAGTGGCTTCATTGTTACTCAATTTAAAGAAGTTCATAACTTGGAATTTTCAGACTAAAGGGCAGGAATTCAGAAGATCTGTACCCATGAAAAAGTTTTCCAGCAGATTTGAATAGCTACTCAGGATGTAGATGAAAGTCAAATATCTGCTTAAAGTATGTACTAATTTAGGTATATTCATATATTTAAAGATGGTGTATTCCATATATTAATGTCCCGACAATTTAGGAGACTATTTTATTTGAACTTTTTCAATGCATGTCATCACCAGAGGAACTCTTTGATCTTCTCATGACTTGAGCACACTACCTTCACTTCCACTCACATTGCTTAAGATTCTCTTCTTTTTTTTTTTTTTTTTTTTAAAGATTTTATTTATTTATTTGACAGAGAGAGATCACAAGCAGGCAGAGAGGCAGGCAGAGAGAGAGAGGAGGAAGCAGGCTCCCTGCTGAGCAGAGAGCCCGATGCGGGGCTCGATCCCAGGACCCTGAGATCATGACCTGAGCCGAAGGCAGCGGCTTAACCCACTGAGCCACCCAGGCGCCCCAAGATTCTCTTCTTTTTGAATTGATTTTTGCATCTGTGTGTCACGTTGCCCCTGGAAATTTTACATGAAGACACAAGGATCATTTGCTTTTTTGTGATCGCAACCATGTAACCCCGCTTACAAGATTGCATTTTTACAGTGATCTTTACGTGGCACGATTATAGTGATATGTAACTCTTGAAGATTATATACTCAGGAATTTGTATTAAGGTTCTTTGCCTTTGTAAAAATCATTTATGTTAGGTAACATATATGTAACCAAAATGGATGTGACACCTATCATATGGTGATATATAATATATATATATAATATAATATCATATTATATTTGAGTGCCTGCAATGAAAGCATGTACTATTCAGCCCTTTGGTTGTTTATGGTTAAGCATTAGAGGGACTGGATTTCACCCTGATTTCAGGAAGTCACTTTTTAGCATGGTTGTTTTGTTTCTTATCAAGAACACTGAACTGTAATAATGCTATATGGAGGTACTGGTAGCTGGAAGATACTAAAATCAGGAGCCTTAGATTGGTTTTTAGAGAAAAAGTTCCCTTTGAGTAACACCCATATCCTCTGCGGTTCTGTCTGCATGGGTATGATATGACTGCAAGTTCCCTAATTCATACCACTTTGCTTCTTTACTCCAGGGGACAGCAGTTTGCTCAGCAGATACAGCAACAGAATCCTGAACTCATAGAGCAACTTAGAAATCATATCCGGAGCAGATCATTCAGCAGCAGTACTGAAGAACATTCGTGACTTGACCAGGGACCCTGGCCCAGAGCACAAATGATTATGACTCTTAAGTGTTTGCTATAGATAGTGGCCAAAACAAAGACACCTAAAGAATCAATATGTCTAGATGATAGGTTTGTCATAAATAGACTGAACATAACATGACTCCTTTGTAAACAAATGAGCAGTAGCCCTGTGGAGTGCCAGTATAGTACTGGACAGGGTTCCATTTTCAAATCTTCATCATCATATTTGTATATTAGACCTAATAGCAGAGTATATTTATTGAACAGTAGGGCTGTTTATTGGTGAGCTTTCCAGCTCCAGATTCCCATAAGCAAACCCTTTTGAGTTTGATGGAGATGACCAAGAGGAAAGGTTTCTCATGCTGGTTTATAAATATCCTGGCCACTGAATAGCATGTCTGGAGAAAAGAAATTTGTTGTCTAGGCTTCATTTTGATAGTGCGGTCAGTACTAAATATAGATCACAGGGGCCAGTACTATCTTTAATGCTGCTTGTTCTGAAGGGCAACACGGAATACTAAGAGCTGGTGGAAAGCAGCATTTGGTGCAAGGGTTGTTTTGAAAAGAAAAATAGATGCTGTGAATGTACAGAGAGTGAAGGTAGGATGTTCAGGTTTTCTGCATAGTTCTTAACTAATCTTGCCTGCAGTTTGGTCTTGATAACATTAGCATGGCCAATTACTCTAAGTACATAATAAAATACATTTAGAAATCCTTAATGGTACTGTTTAGGTCCTTTGTATAACTGTTCAATTTAACTTGCACAATTTCCCCAGTGGTGACTTTACCATGGAAACTCTCAAATATATTTACATTTAAATAAGCCAGTGGTTTGACCCTCAAGGATTTTCTAAGTGGCATTTAATTATGTGCATATAAATACTGATTTTTAAAAAACTCATTAATTATTTGATGGATTATAAAAACTTCTATCACTAACATTGCTTGTTCATGTAAACCTTTGCTGTAATTTGGCTTGGCATGTTGCTTTTATGCTTAATCTTAATTTGATGCAATGTAAACATTAATAGGGGACTTAAATATTTCACTGAAATCAGAATTCATAGTAGTTAAGAAATGTGGCATTAAGTATTAATGGCATGGCTTTAACTACAGCGATGGTAAGACCATTCTAACTGGAATTTCTTTTGTTAATTATGGAATTGGTAAAATTGGGTGAACACATAACAATTTCACAAGTGTGAGAGATAACTGAAAAAGTAATATAAAATTAAGTCAGTAATACTCATGATGATGAGGGCCTTACTATAACTATTCTCCTCAGAAGACCTGGTATCTAGAAGTTTAAATACCAACTTTTCCTTTCTTTCCCCTTGTGAGTTTAGAATAATGGTTCTGTAATTTCACTGTAAGAATTCATTAAAAACAAAGTTTCAGAGCCATACTTTCAATTTTTATTTAATAGGTCCTGTAGTAAGGCCTAGGAATCACCATTTTAAATAGCATACCAGGTGGTTGTGATGTACGTCCAAGGACTCTAATTTAGAGCAAAAGTAGGGTAGAGGTATCACCTCAGACCAGCAAATATCTGAATGCCTGCGTTCAGGTTACAAAGATGACCCATATAAATCCATAGTTCTGCCCAGAGAAGAGCAGTACTTAAAATTTTAGATCCTCTGAATTAAATCTCCTGAATTCCATCTAACCAACTTAATTTTTCATAAATTCAGGTCCTAGTGTTCAAGTGTTAAACAGAATGAAGTACTAACTCTTCACATGAAAGTTAGGACTGTTCTGGGGAAAAAAAAGGTGAAAGGGCGAAAGGTGATCCACAATTAAAAATTAGCTACTCCTGGGGCACCTGGCTGGCTCAGTAGGTAGAGCATGTGACTCTTGAGTTCAGGCTCTACGCTGGGCATACAGCTTGCTTAGCAACAACAACAAAAATTAGCTACTCTTATCCAGTAGTAAGAGAAAGTTTCTAGCAAAACTATCTTGAGTGTGTTAAAATGCTCTTAGACCAATAAAATTGGTAAGCCTATAGATGACTGACTAGGAAAATAGAGAAAATACAAATCAACAGTACCAGAAGTAAAAGAGGGGATATCACTACAGCCTTTCAGACTTTAAAGGGATAATCAGAAAATAGAGTGACCAACTCTAGGTCCATATACTGAACAACTTACATGAAACAGATGAATTCACTGTAAGATAAAGATTAGCAAAGCTCAGGGAAGAAACAGGTATCCTCCAGAAAAGCAAGTTACAGGCCAAGATGATTTCAATGGTAAATTCTACTGAATACTTAGAGAAATACTATCAAATCTACACTCTCTCTTCAAAAACAGAAGAAGAGGTAACACTTTGCAACTCATTTTATTCAGCTATTTACTCTGATACCAAAATCAGACAAAGGCATTATAAGAAAAAACACTTTAAAACAATGTCTTGATTTGCTAATATCTATAATTGCGGTAAGCCATTCTTTTTACGAAGCACTGGTGTATTCCTTCCATTTCAACTTTCTAGTTTGTTTCTTGGTTTATATACCACTTATAACAAATTCACTTGAGGTATCTGTCCACTGATCTGGATTTCCATTCTATTCAAGCCAGTTTTGTTCTTCAAATACCTTCCTCACTTTGGAATCACTGCACTGCTAATTATTTCAAGGAAGTTTTGTGCAGATGGATTGTGCTAGCTACTCTTAAAATTATAAGGGATGCCCCAAATACTTTCCTGGCTTATCCGGAACAGGACATTAAAGTAAATCTTTATATACATTCTACTTAGGAATGAGTGGCTTCTGTTAACCACACTTCATTGTAATAGCTATAGCTGTTATGATGCTATGTAAAACTTTAAAGGTCCCTTTTATACAAATGATATTTTCATTTAATGTACCAAACTGTTTAGCTAATTTTTATAATATGGTTTCGACAGATCCCAAGATGACATTATCTAACCTTTAGTTAGAGAATGGACAGTGTCTATCATAAAAAGAGACTTTAACCATTATATGTTACTTTTAAAAATCTGGAACAATGAAACAGAAGGTTCAGTCATGAGAAGATGCTTAAAAAACATTAAAAATACACAGTGCAGTGGATATAAAGTCTTATCATTTAATCAATCTTACTCATTCTGGAAGAAAGAAAGATTTCGGCTTTATACTGCTTGCACTTTATTTTGCACAGATAGTTCATTATTAGTGCAATTTAAGGGGCAGATCTCATTCTGAATATAGCTTTACTCTGGACCAAATAATTTGTCATGGCAATAAATAATTATGCATTTAAGAAAAACCAATTTTTGTATTTGACTTAATGACTCTAACATTTAAGCAATAATATTTACATCCTTGAATTTCAACTTACGAAAATAAGTTTTTATTTAACAGCATAAGCTTTCTGTTTCCTTACAAAATACTGAAACTTACTATAGTCATGTTGCAAACTTGTTTATAATCTTAACTTTCTGTTTTGTTCCTGGAATAAGTAAATCACTGTGATTACATACAGAGACAGTTTTGTAGTATTAATACATGATTTAGAGTTCAAAATCCAATAGCAGAAGGTGGAAATCCTTTAAATATGCCTTATGAAAATAAGTGGCTTATTTTTCAATGTGAAAAAAACCCAGGACTTTTTGGCTTAGAATTAGGAAATTATCAGGATTCTTGGTTAAAAGTTAACAGAGTAATCAACAATCCAAGAAATTAAACCCATTCTGATCTGCTGTTAGTAACTGAAATTTAGATGTGTGTTTATATGTAACCACAAGCACAGGTACGAACAAACAGAATAACTGACAACTAAGCAGAACTCATACTGTGTTAGCAACATAAGGGTACATGAGGACTACTCTAGTTGTCTGAAGCTTTTTCTGCTGACTGAAGAGTTAGGAAAAAAACTGGGGCTAATTGAAAAATTTTAAATGAAGTATTATAAGAATCTGAAGTTCTAAACAATTGTATCTTTTAGATCAAGGTCAGCAAACTATGGCCTAGGCCCAATGGCCAGTTGCCTGTTTCTGTAACACTGCTTGTTCTTTTTGCCTACTGGCTGCTGTCCCACTACAATAGCAGAATTTTTTCAACAGCAGCCACATCTCCTGTGAAGACAAATATTTAGTATCTGGACCTTTACATAAAATGTTTGCTAACCCCCATTCCAGATAGTTGCTAGGGACAAACAGCCTCAAATAGAGAACTTCAGGAAAACGAAGTCCAATGGTTATCTAGAAATGGAATATGCTGAGTGGAGAAAATGTACAAATGTCCATTCAGAATATAACTCACAAGATAAAATCAGTAGATGGTTCTTTTCAAAACAAATATTTAATATTTTAACTTTGTCAGGAAAGAAATTTAAATAATAGGTACTTATTTTTGTTGTAGACTTGATCATTTCACAAAGGTGACAAAAAAAAAAACAGTTCTGTGAAATTCAATGAAAAGCACTGGAAATCTTCAGCTCTCCACTTTAATGGCCGAAGACACCACACAGACCTGTGCGATGTCATCATATTCATATGTTCTCTTTAAGAACGTGTCTGTTAATCTTAAGCCGGAGACACTCTATTGAGAGAAAGATACAGGCATGAATTTTCATACATTGGTAATTACCAGAGAAATTTGGAAAGAGTCAATGCCCATGGGTTAACATTCCCAGATACCAAAATGAGTGAAAAGAGAGCGCACCTGCAGTCCCTGTACTGAAGACAGCAGAGTAAGGGCAAGGCAGAGAGAAGAACTGGGATGCAGCTTTCCAAGCTGTCTTCCTGAAATGCCACACCAGTGGATAGAATTGGTATTGCACATTTCCAAAACCAGATCCATAGTCCTTTCACTGCTGGAGGAATCAGAAAGACAGGAATAAATCTTGTTCCTTTCACAAAGCAGTACTTGGTATTTCTTCCACTTAGTGCCAATGAATTTGTTTTTGGTGTATCCAGGAGAATAAAAAGCAGAATCAGAAATAAAAAACTACAATGTAATTTTTATTCCACTTAAGACAGAATCAGGAAAATAGAGAGATGGCATCTTCTAGGGTTTAAAGTGGCACTGAGATTGAGCTGCTTGTCTGGGTATAAGCCTTCTGGTTCTATTACTGAATCCTGGCCCCCTGGTGCTGATCTGTTAACAGCTCTGCCATTTCTCTGGGAGACTTCCAGACATCTGTGTCTACTCTTGTTGCTATATTTTCTATTTCTGTTAGGTACTCAACAGGAAAGAAAAAGATAAACTGAGTCTTTTTGCTATTTAACTTATGTTTCTTTAATGCAGATAACACAGAAAATGACAAGATTTCTAAGTAAATATTATTCAGGTTTGTTCACTGGTCACATGAAAAGACTCTTCTGCTTATAAATGATATCACCAGTTTAGCTTAAACATGTTTAAAAAAAAAAAAAACAAAAACTGTCAATGCCAGTATACACACATATTGGTTTTTTGTCTTTTTTTTTTTTAAGATTTTTTTTATTTATTTGAAACAGAGAGAGAGAGATCACAGGTAGGCAGAAAGGCAGGCAGAGAGAGGGGAAAGCAGGCTTCCTGCCGAGCAGAGAGCCCAATGTGGGGCGCGATCCCAGGACCCTGAGATCATGACCCAAGCCAAAGGCAGAGGCTTAACCCACTGAGCCACCCAGGTGCCCCCTTTTGTTTGTTTTTTTAAGTAACCAAAAGGCTCAAAGTAAAATATAGGCCTCTGCTCTACCACCATTTCTGGCTACTTTCAACTGTTTTAGCTCTTTTTTCCTTCTAGTTGGCTCCTTATTTTGGCCATTAATTGATTTGCTACACCTCAAACTTTAAGTAAACAAAAAATCCAAAAGCACGCCTATACACACAGGGTCTTCACCCTATGCATGTTGCTGTTTAGTGAACTTCCATGATGTGGCAGGCAGTGCATTCCCAATGCTAGGTAAGACATGATCCCTTCTGTTGAATAATGAATAATCTAGTAAGGGAGAGACTAAAAATTATAACAATATATGAATGTCACTAAAAAAAACGATAAAAAATTTGCTAGGACAGAGGAAGGAATGATTAACTGTGCATGGGAGGGTCACTAGCTTCAGAAGGAGAAATGTATTTTTGTAATTCTGAAGGATAAATATTTCCTATGGAGTGCATACGGAATTTTAAAAGAGTATACATTCAAATTATGTGGGATAGGATTCATCCCTGCAATAATTTCAAAATGCCCCAACAGGTAATATAAGCTTTACCACAAGTGATAGGACTGGAATTTAATCCTTGGCTTTTCTGGCTTCAAAGCCCTGTGCTCTTTGCATCCCAACAGCTAGATTATATTCTATTACAAGGCCCCACTTTCCAAACTACGACTGATCCCTTATATTAAATTCATAACCAATTTTTACCTTCTAAATGCTAAAGATACAGTTCAACCATAAGTGTAATTCAGAAAAATCTATCTTATTACATTAAATCTATACTGTATTATTCCATAAAAATGTGACTTGTTCATGCTTTAGTAATTTTTTTTTAGATTTTATTTTTATTTACTTATTTGACAGAGATCACAAGTAGGCAGAGAGGCAGGCAGATAGGAGGAAGCAGGCTCCCTGCTGAGCAGAGAGCCCAATGTGGGGCTCGATCCCAGAACCCTGGGATCATGACCAGAGCTGAAGGCAGAGGCCTTAACCCACTGAGCCACCCAGGCGCCTCCATGCTTTAGTAATCTGAAGTGTGAGGAAATGTAAACAATGAAAAGAGCATGGACTCTAAAGTCAAACAGACCTGGTTTCAAAGTCTGGCCCCATCTTCTCTAGCTCTCTCAGCTTGAGTATGTCACTTTAACTCTGCGTTGGTTTTCTCTTGCATAAATTGTGAATAGTAGTACCTACCTCATAGGGGACAATGCATGAATGAAATAAAATACAGAAAATGCCAAATAAAGTCAGACCTCAAAAAATGTAATGTATAGAGCTACCAGATGAAGAAATTTATAGTATTCAACACCACCTCAGAGGTGGTTTCCATCAGCATACTCAAAAGACTTTAATTCTTTGACGTAGGTGAAGAGGAAAGGCACCCATCCACAAACACTGCCATTACCTGCAGTTTGTTATTTTACAGGTA